GAACAAATTATTCCTAGATTCTTATGTAAAATCTGATCTTTTAAATTCTTCAGTTTAAGTAGAATGAAATATTAAAAGAACTATATTTTACTCTTTAAATTATAATAATTCATACTGTATGTTAAATAGTGTGATAATTACTATAATAGTAATAAATATGTATAATAAAATATATGTACCGTCTTCCGTAATCGGAGGCTCTTGATAAGGCGTGGCTATCTGATTCAATTGATGCGCGTGAGTCAAGTCAGAATAATGATAATTCGACAACGTTTGCTCCTTGAACTTTTCGATGTCCCAACTGTTATCCGCTGCCATATTATAACCGTAGTAGTCCTGCGACGCGTGTTGTTGCTGATATTGATGCTGATGATGAACGGAAGTGTAACAATCCATGATTCCCAATTGTTGATCCTCGTTCAAAATATCGCGAACGCTGAACGGAGTTCCGGACGACGACAACATTTTCAACGCATACTCTCACTATTTTTCCACTATCGAATGTTTCAAACAGTTCGGATCGAAAAGTTACAATATCGAATAACTTTTTAAAATCTCACGCTGTCATTTATCAAAAACACGTTCCAATTCAGTTTTGATTCACTGTTATCGTTGACATAAAATTATATCACGACAAACAACGAAGTACAAACTCAGTGTTCACTAAATTTATTTGAATATTTCACAATATCCTTAAGCAACGATTTATCCTTCAGCTGTTTCAACTTTTAAATATTACATCACCGACAGTAAATGATTCACTTTAAAAACAACAGCAATTCTATTCCAATGATCTTGATTAGGGGATGACGGTCACGGATGGACGGTCTCTGGCCGGAGGACGAACTTGCAATGATGATCTGACAGAAGGAGTCAAGTGCTGGTCCCAGCCTTCGTGGTCCACACCCACACAGGGACAAGTGGAGCGCCTTTGCGTATTCCTGTGTGCGTTCATGTGTATGCGCGTGATGTTTACCAGCACACTCGCATCTGACACGAGCACGAACTCGGGGTGGTCGAATCCTCTGATTGGAGCTTTTGTCTCCTTGAGGATAATTTGATCGGAGTCAGGGTAGCTGAAAGGGTGTTTGACCTGTCTTGAGAAACAGGTGTCTTTCGAGGATTTCTTTCTACATGTCAAAAGTTCATAAATTTAGAGTAATGTAATACTTTCTAATTGAACAACTCTTTCAGTGTTTGATTTATGATAACACTAAATGTCATGCTGAAAGCTATTTCACTTGTTCGCATAGATGTTGTTGTAGTTACATTATTAACGTCAGGTTTGATGGCTTTTTCACGTCCCTTTTTATGATGTTTAGAAGGGCACATCTATGGTTTTTTAATTACGCTTCCCGAGCAGGAAGCTTTATCTCAATCATAAACCACTTAAAATTAAAAGCAATCGCATCCTTTTTTCTATCGACGCGAAACGCGCGAGGGATTGACGGTTGGATTAAATAAAAAGATATCGACCCGCGTCGCATGATAATTACGAGGATCGGAAGTGTCGGGACGATTAAGGAGTTGGCAAATCGTTTTTGCTGAGGTACAGCCATAACGCGTGGTGAGTAACATTGGGGCGGAGGAGAAGACGAAAGGCACGCCTATGCTCTGACTGGCGAACCAATCCAGGCATACTCCTGAAACGAGACTTCTATAACCGGCGATTAAATCTCAATTCGCCTGATTACGGTCTACCTCTTTCCCCTCAACAGTGTTTGAAAACCTCATAGCGAATGAAGAATGAGAATAATTCGTTTCGCTTCTAAGTTAAAACTTTCGCCCTTCCTTTATTTTTCAATTTTTATTACAAATTGTTCAAGATTTTTTATATTTTTAAGGGGATCGTTGTTTCTCTTAGAAGAGTTCATGTCTCCAGAATTTGGGAGAACTTGAAACTCGGCAGGCGGTGTCAGACGCGTGACAAGTTATAGGCATTTCGGCGTGTGGATTTCGGTGATGGGATGGGGTTGGAAAAGAAAACAAAACAATCCGCTTTCCTTGGCAGGACGTGATCGAAAGTAATATACTCCAGACGCAACCCGTAACCCTTGGAATTTCGGAAACCACTTGTCAGGCAGCTTGGATACCTACGCTTTTGTAATTGCCTGTGAATTTATGGTACTGCTGACTTTTTACCCGGCTACGCCAGAAGAAGGGTATTGTGTTCAATTTTAACGTACGAAATATTCGTTTGACTCCGGATCCACTGAACGCATTGAAAATGTGGCACTTTCTTTTTCTTTCTTTTATCTTTTTACATGCATCGTCATTATTTGGACTTACGTGAGTTTACCACACATTTTCAATATCCGCATGTGAAGTGAATTTAGAATCTAACGAGACATCTGCACATATGTATGTACGTTTGTGTGAGCCTCCAGCTTAAAATCTCCTTATAGGATTATATTATACTTTAATAGATACCAATCGATTTGTCTCTGTCGCGGAAGTGTTTTAGACTACATAAGATGCTGAAAAAAATAGCGACAGGTATAATTAGATAAAAAAGTTAATACCCTATATTTGTGTGGAATGCGGAAGACACCGTCAACAATTACACATGTTGTTCTCTTTTGTTTTTTGTATTTCGTCTTGGGGTTTTATTTCTTTTAAATTTATTCTTGTTAAATTCTTTGCCTTAAATTTCGATTAATATTTTGGAAAATACTATTCTTTTACTCTGTATTAATAATAAACTCTGAATGGTATCAAAAGATGTCTACATCTGAAGCATGTTCTTATAAACTGAATTTTTTTAAATCTCATGACATCTTCTGCAGAGCTCGATTACTGCTGTTTGTTATTACTCATTGAACGTACTGCACGCGGAATTACACAGAACCAGGCACGTGCATGAATGCGTGGTCATGTGGTGCGTTGTAAGTGTGCGTGGCAGGCGCCAAGGAATACCAAGGCGCCTTTTTAATTGTGGGAAAACGGCGCGGCGTCTCGAGGACCTGGCGTCGTGTGAAGCCGCCGTTGTATCCCACAGAAGACAGTAATTTTTAAACAATCTTGAGCGTGTACAATGTTCCAAGAATTTAGAAAAATCTCCGTGCTTTCTTTCACAATGCGCGTGAGCCCTTCGAGGTATTAATTACGAGCAAGTGGGAGTGTACATATTGTAATAAAATAAACAGAATGTGAAAAACTAAGGGCATAAGTGTTGTAATACATAAATGATAAAAAAGATTCTTATCTAAAATACATGTTTTTATGTACCATAAATGTTTTACTTTGCATACATATCTGCAGTTTAATAATCATTCTCGAATCATCAATCATAAAACACAATTCCAAGGTTGATAATATGAATGATAAAATTACTCTCATTTTATACTCATTTTATACTCATTTTATATAAGTATCATTCTCGTTTTTCATGGAAAGGAAAACATTTTTCATGATCAGTTAATGTGACCGGAAAACAGCAAACGATTTCCATGCGGAAACAGACGAATGGTTTCCTTCTTCGCGCAAGTAGGTATACGCGTAAAAGTCCGTTGCGATCGAGAGACGCTCGCTCGCTTTGATGCAATGTGGTGTCCAGTTGCAACACGGACTGGCCGTGTTGCCCGTGTTGAGTCCGGTACAAAAGGGCCCTTTGTTCCGTTCGTCTCGCGTCTAAATAGCCGCATGCGGCCTCGACGATGGCCAACTATTCGTGTACGGTTTACTAGAAAAATCCCATGGCGCACGTTGCCGCAGTGCCTGGGCTTTCCCACTCCTGGGGGGTCGGATGCTGACCAGATCATGCGTTCTTCCCAGGACTTTTCCGTTTTTTTGTTCACTCGCAACGACCCGTATACGTGACCAAAAATGAGACAATATCTTCCGGGCCTTGAAATCGATTTCTCCGGAAGGAGTGTTCTTCCTTTACTTTTCTTTTAGTCGCATTCAGGAGAATCATTGAAGGTTGCGTGAAATTTGCATAGTTGGACGATGTCTTTTTAATCAGTCAATATTTAATGGAGACCCTGTTTTTTATCTATTTTATGTGCAAATGAAGTTATAACATTTAAATATACTAGTGTATTCTCAAAGTAATCTCAGTTATTTCAGAAGCTGTAATAACTCCGAAGTGTTGCCTCTGAACACTCTCTCTCTCTCTCTCTCTCTCTGAAGTGAAGTTATTGTAATAATCTCACATTTTGCAAAAATATAATGTTTTTATGTAAAATTAATTCGGAGTCATTCAGGAAATGAAGAGGAAAACGAAACGTTCAGCAGGGTTTCGTATTGTATAGAAAGAGAAACGCATTTCTGCACTTATGTAGACGCGCGCCGCGCCGCGCCAGGGAGACTCCACGTCGTTTTCTCACGAGTGGTCCAGACAATTGCGAGGATCTGGATGTCTAGACGGGCGCATCCCTCGTTTTATTCTTCGCCGTCGCAAGAGGAAACGCACGGCTATACATTTGCCAGAAACTTTGCTTCGATAATCATGTACGTCTCGACCACTTGTTTCTTCCTGTGCGTTTTCTTTCGTTACTCACTTTAAAATACGGTTTCTGTCAACATGTTCGAAAACATTCCCAATTTTTCCTTTCAATAGATACTAAAAATATCTTGCAAGTTTGACATGCTTCTTTCGAAATACGTA